TGCTCCTTGCCACAGCAGACACCTGGAATTCCAGGGATAATGCTAGGTCAAGGAGCACTCCCAATCTATGCACCCTGTCTCCCAGAGGGAGTGCAACCCCACACCCAGGACAGGGCAAATATCACTCATTCAGACAGCTGAACCAACAGAACCTCCTCGTATCTGGAGTAAGTCTCAGTTTATTGGCCCTTATCTAGAATATCATGCCATCCAGGCACTGGTTCATCACGTTCACTTCTTCACTTGGATTAGATGAAAAAGAGAGGTAGAACTTGGTGTTATAAGTATATCATTGCCCAAACTCTCCCAGCAGTTTCATGTAGATATTGAACACTGTGGGGGATAAATTGGAACCCTGCAGAACTCCATGGCATAATTGCCATTGTGCAGAGCCACAGTCCCCTGGCACTACCTTCTGGGACTGGCTGACCAAGTAGGAGCAGAACCACTGCAAAGCAGTGCCTCCACCCTCCAACTCGGCCAACCTATCCAGTAGGATACCATGGTCAATGGTATCGAAAGCTGCTGAGAAGTCTAGAAGAATTAGTAAGAATGCACTCCCCCTGTCCTTCTCCTGGCAAAGGTCATCCCACAGGGCATCCAAGGCAGTTTCAGTGCCAAAATCAGCCTGAAAATGGACTGAAATTTCGTATTTATTGGATATAAGTAACTGGACTCACTTCAGGCAACTAAACATCTTTACTTCTGTTAAACATCCAGAAATGGGAACATCGAAAGAAAACAGAACATCAAACATGAACTAAGAGCATCTGGCTATAAAAAGTCTTTTATTTATGTGGAGGAAATGTTTGGATGACCTTCTTTGGCTTCATAATCTGTAATGTATGAAACTGGAAGTCAGTATTGAATTGATCTTCCTTTACCCCTCCTCTCTGTTCTTGGCTTATTATTCTAATTTGTTAACTGGCATTCCTGGATCAGATTTAATGAGGAACTCTGGCTTAATATAAGCCAAGGTTGGTGCACCAAAGCTAGAACATATGAGGAAGGAAGAGGAAGGAAGATTGGCTCTGATGCTTGTTCCTATGTTCATAAACTGTGGTTCGTGAGGCCTGGTAGATTGTCTGAACTTGGCTACTTGGCTACTGAATGGTCCTTTGGGGTGCAATCTAAGGAAATAGCAGAGAATAAAGTTGCAGGGACATTTCTTCCAAATGGAGAAAGAGCCAGTATCAACTGGACAGGACATTTTCCTAGGACCAACTAATCACTGCATGGCATCCTGCCTTGATCCAATGTCATCAGATACATTGAGAATAAAAGAGAACAATTATAAATACTAGGCATAGGAGGAAACATAACACAGGATAATGCCGAATTTGGGCAGAACAGCAAGAGCAGTAATACATCACCTTTGAAGGATAAATAGCTGAAATTGGAGAAAAAAAGATGTTGCTTTAAAGTTCCTTTAATGTCCATTAGAAGGACTGTATGAATTATTTAAGAACAAGACCAAAGATAAGGCTGACATTTCATCACCAACTGTCTCATAAATGATGGCTTCTATCAAACTTGGGATCTTTTTTATGATTGGCTGGAGAAACGGGACTTGACTTAGATTTAAAGATGTTTTTAAATTTTTATAAACTGATTTGAATTTGATTATAGAATGTTGAAAAGATATGTTATAAGGGGCTGACCCAGTACATCCAATGTATTTGATGATTGATGTTTTTAGTTTAAACATTTTAATAAAAATCTTTAGGAAAAAAATGATGGCAACTAGTCTGGTAGTATGGATTTATTATATACCAGATGCCAGAAATGTGACATTTTCCATGTGTCAGCAATAAACTGCTATGCACAGATACAGTTGAAAAGACTGAGTTGTATATCAGGAAATACCTAGTTCAGCTATCACCTCTGCCATGAACTCTACATACTTTAGGGATGAAACAACACGCATAAACCCAACAGCAATATGTGGGAACTATGTTATAAAGGCCACAATGCTATGCATGTTCAGACAGAAAAGTCCTACAACTACTAGCATTTCCCAGGCAATGTTGCACAATTATATTCCTGTCTGAACATGCATAGCCTTGCACCCTAAGAAGTGCAGCCATTATAAACCTTTTAGTTTCGTTGGGCATCCATCTATTACCTTGCCTAATATGGCAGGTACTGACAGTAGCCATGAGCAAAAAGATTTTGATGGTATTATGCTAGCTCTTCTTTCTTCAACCTAGCACCCTCTAGATGTGTTGGATTGCATGTCCCATAATTTCCAGGGGACTGTAAGAGATGCAGTCCAACTTTTGGGAAAGGCTGTGCTAGCTACTAGCACCTGAAGTGTTTAGAATCCATGACCTGTGTATCTTCTTCTGTAACTGAATTATTAGGAATTGATCTCATATGAGGAAGCAAATAATGCTTCATTTGTCAGGCTCACAAGAGCTTTCTTCAGTTGCATAACTGAAGAAGAGAGTTCTGCCCAGGGAATGAGTGGCTTGCCTGGAGAACCCAGGAAGATCTTGGAACCATGCAACAAAGCATTTGTGTCATCTCAAAAGTTTAGGAAGTTTAGGCAAAGTTTAGGCAAAGAGCACAAAGGAAGCAATGGCTTTGAGTATCCTCAGGATGGGGTAGAATAAAGAAATCTGTTTGGTTTTCTTCAGAGTCCTGGCTTTTTGAAAGAATTTAGGGTTATGGCTTATAAATTTAAGGTGCTGGTGATGACCTATAAAGTCCTAAATGGATTAGCACCTGGATAACTGAAGCAGTATCTCCTTCCCTATGTGCCTACCCACCTCTTAAGATCTGGGACAGAGGCCCTTCTTCGGGAGCCCCCATTGAAGGAGATTAGGACTACCTGGAGAAGGGCCTTCTCTGCGGTAATGCCCCGGTTATGAAGTATGCTCCCTAGAGAGGTTCATCTGGTGCTGACACTTTATTCTTTTTTGGTGCCAGGCTAAGTCCTTTTCATTTTCCCATTATTTTAAGACTTGGCTATGATTTTAATTATGGGGCTTTTATTGTATAAGGAATTATTTGGATGCTGTGCTCTATTCTACTTTTTGTAAGACCATCCCAAGACCTCGGTAGGAGGCAGAATATAAAAGTTTAAAGTAAATAAACAAAATAAACATTTAAATAAATCAGTAGAATCTTGTATAACGGTAACCATTGATTCTATAATGACATATAGGATTAAGCTATATTTAGCAAATAAAGAATCACTTACCTTTCGCTGACATTTAAAGGAATGAACAGCTGTTGTTCCATTTTCTGTCTTTCGTTTTAGATGGCCTACCATTCTTGATAGTGTGCTTCTCTTTCACGGTACTGTCTGCAGTTTCCTCTTACAAACTGAACAAATCTTAAGTAGCTCTGAGTCCTGGACAAAGGTTGTGCCAAGCTGTTCTGTATGACTGTCTCAACAAAGTTTAAAGATCATGACAGCATAATCTGTTAGTGATAAGAATATTTACAATAGGTTGCCCAAAGTTTGCTGGCTATTGTCTTCCTGCCTATGCAAATTTATATGCTGAGTACAATATGAGGGAAGTAATCAACTGATATTTTTCTGGAATTGTAAATCAGTGAGACTATGCAAGCTTATTTGAAATTAAGGAGCAGTAAGATTTATTTATTTTATGGCTCACTTTTTTTTTTTCCTTTCAAGGAACTCAAGGACGCTTTCAATATTATCTTCACAACAACAGTCCTGTGAAGCGGGTTGGGCTGAGAATTTCTGACTGGCTCAAAGGCATCCAGTGAGCTCCATGGCTTCATGTGAGGACTAGAACCCAGATCTCGTGAGTCCCAATCCTTCACTCTTAACCACTACACCACACTGACTGTCAAACTTAGAGCTTACTTTTGTCCTAAGTTTGGGACCAGAATCAAAAGGCCATTGTTTAAGTTGCACTGGAACTATGGCTACAGTTTCAGTTTGAAGAAACAATTGTATCATTAGCTAAAATTCTGGTGCAGATTGGCTGACAAAACAGTCATGTGCACTGCCAAGAGCAGAATAATATGTCTGCTTAACATTTCTAATATTATATTACACATAACAAGTATGGGAAGAATCCTATGCACTCCCCCCTCTGGGATATACACCTTAATGTGGTGAAGGGGTTTGAAATTCCAAATGTACATTTTAAGATTGACATTATAAATAAAGATTCTGAATCATTCAAAGAACAGCAATAATGCTAGGTTCATAAATATGTAGGAATGGATGGTAACACATGTACAAGTCTATTTGCTTGCTTTCAGCATTGGGGCAAGAGATAAAAAACGGTGAATGGGAAAGAGCAAACTGGAATGGCAGAAAGATATGTTGTGGAGGGTGCAAGTTTATTTACAGCAATCTTTCTCGATCGAGTGGTCTTCAGATATGCTGGACTACAATTCCCAGCACCCCCAGGAAACTGCTGGCTGAGGATGCTAGGAGTTGTAGTCAACATATTTGGAGGTTCCAGGCTGTGGAAAACTGATGCAGAGGATCGCCCTGTATAGTATTATTTTTAGCATCAAGTACTGCCACTGAGGAGTTTGTGCTTTTTTGATGAACTTTTTTTTTAATTGTAAACGTTCGTGATAGATTTAATAATGACGGTACAGAATTAAAACTTTAAAACTAAAGACCAGTCTTACCACAGTTTTAACTAGCGACGTTCCTTCTTATATATAGTGTACCGGTAACTATTGCAAACGATTTACGTGTAACAGATAACATTATTACATTCCTGATGGTTGGCGTCCCAGTTACTTGAGCCTCGCACGCTTCCAGCCCCCTCCGTCATTCCACAATTCTTTCCCGCCCGCCTCTCTCTTTCTAATGTTCAGAATGCAGGAAACTAGAAAGAGAGGGTGTGCAGTTTGCCACCGCAACCGCGCGCGCCCTTTTCCCCACCCAGAAACCACTCAGCCACTCATTACTCTTCCTCTTCGACCCTGAAGCGGAATAGGAAGAGCAGATATCGTTTCCGCGGCCTCTGATTGGCTGCCTGTCTGTCCGGGGCACTCGGGTCTCTTTTCTCGCGCCACTTTCAGGCGCTTTGGCGCGAGAGCGTGAAGCAGTGGGCCGGTTTTGGAGGCTTGCAAGCGGCGTCCTTCTCTTTAGCTCCCCGCGCCATGGATCGGAGTGAGCGACCGCGCGATGGGGCTGAAAATGTTTGCCATGGAGGTGAGAGAACGAGCGCAGAGCACGGCGGCGGCAATGGGATGTAGGGGGCGGTTGGAGGAAACGGCCAGACTCGGACGGCCACGGGAAAGCAAGGGAGCGAGGAGGTAGATGAGCCCATTTAACGTGGTGTCGGCAGACAGGCGCTGATGCTCGTAGTGGAGAGGCTGGCGGTAGCCGGGGATGTTGCTCTTTGGAAAGCCTGTTAAATTGGGCCATGAACTAAGCAGTCATAAATAGGGATGGTGACTTCTAGGCAAGCCTGTTCTGAATCTAACAAATAGTCTTGCAACCCCCGTTTCCCAAATCTGAGTCGGGATCAATGGTTATTTAGCATGCAATCCTTTCCATATTAGACAGAAAAAAAAGCCTACAACTCCCAGCATTCCTCAGCCATGCATAGGATTATGCATTTAGAGAATTCCTATTATAGGATTTTCTTCCGGAGACGTAAAAAAACTCATGGTGTCAATCCTACCCATGTGTACTCAGAAGTAAGTCCCATGGATTTTAGTGTGTGTTATTCCCCGGTAAGTCTTAGCAATAAATAATGCAAATAAGTGATTTGCAACATCAAGCCATGCTCTAAAACTCTTCATACATTTCCTGTTTGGTATTAGATTTGTTGTGCAACCCTTACATGTTTGTATGGAATCAAGTCATCCTAGGCTCTGTGTTGCTTGCTTTCAGGAACAAGGGTGCTTTCAATGCTTTTTCCTTCCTTATGATTTCTTTGCTTTCCTTTGAGTATGGGTAAATACTCCACTTTTCATCAGCATGACTTGTGAATTATTAGGAAGGCTAAAGGCTATTAGGAACTCAGTCACAATTACTGGCCCCAGGGCAATTGCAGCATCTGAATGAAAACTATTTGTTAGGTTAAATGCTCTCCAAATGCCCAGTGACTGAAGACAGAAGCCCATGGAACATTGTTGTTATAAGGCACAGCTGGTAGGGAGGCTGGATACAGTCAGGATAGTTGTTGAAGCCTCTGACCGGTAGAACTAGTCTAATCAATAATTCCCAGAGTAGTCTTTTGAAAGGGGGTATGTAATAAGAAAAAGCTGCTGCTGTTCACTTCTCTCCAAGGCTTCAGAGTTTCTTTCCTCTGTAACAAATAAAACCCTAACTATTCCAAATAAAAATCCTGTTTGATTTTTTTAAGGTGGGAGTAATACTTGGGACATTCCTTAGGCGACATACATACCTTGAATATTAATTTTTCCCTCCTCCACTTTTTGAATGTTTGCATAATTGTTTTTGTGACTGGCAGAGATTAATATGAAAACTCATCACCAAACATTTTCCTTGTATTTCTAAGTAGCAGTGTTCTAGAAATCTAACTTTCATAATCCATTATTAGCAAGATTTGTCCTCTTATGAATACTGATCTGGTTTAAGAGCTTCACAAAAAATGTAATTAAAATCACATCAATGTATGCTAATTTCAGTTTTTTCAATATAGCCATAACCATCTATATTAAAAGTCCAATTGGATTTAGTAGGAGATATTCCTTAGTAAACATACATAGAATTTCACCTGTGCATTTTTGTTCTTAAAATTAGGAAAACTAAATGGATCTGGGTTTAGATTTCAGATAAATGATGTCTGGGTAAACAAAAGATATATTGATAGCTATCATTTAGTCAGATTAATAAATTGGTAGTGCACCTAAGATAGTGCTAACAATACCTAGGATGGGATTATTTAATCTGAAATAGGTGCATGTCATAATCACTTGTATGAATAGAAAGTATTTCTAGCAAATGATTTGAGCCAGGAGTTGAAAATCTGAACAGGTGGAAAAAATGACAGCTTGTTAGAAAGGAGAAGTGGGGAATGTGAGGCTGTTCAGTTGTTGTTGACCTTCCATATGATGTTAGATTGCAACTCTGATCAACCCTGATCAACATAGCCAGTGAGCGATGATGAAGCACAGGTTTTCTATCCTTGGTAGAGTGATTGTGTCTACTGAATACTCCTTTATCAGGGGCTGCACAGGGTAGTAAGAGCTTGCTGTCTTCCTCATGCTGTTATTGTATGACATATTGTTGGTAGATGTGGTGCAAAGGGCTTCAGTGGAGGGTGGAATTGCTCCAAACTGAGTAAGTGCATCTTGTGCAAGCAGAAGTTTTCAGTAAGTATCTGAAAACATTGGTAGTATTCTGTTCATATAATATTTGGACACAGCCCACTGTTTGAATTGTGGGAAATGAAAATGAAGGAAAACACATGCATTTAGCATGCTCAAAACTCATGAGACATATCTTTCATATGTATATGCATCTGAAAAAAGTTAAATTGAGAAGGTAAACTGCCCAGTTTGACTGTTTTTATTTTATAAAGCATTGTGTTTTTAGATATTGGAAATGTTTTGTGGACTCCTGTTCAGAAATTTTCTGCTACATCCACTTCATTGTTGTTTACTTAACGTGTTTTTTAACTAAACAACCACAAGAGCTCCAGGCCTGGATACCTTGTGTCACATCTAATTCTACATTAGATTTCAGGCTAGTAACAGTATTTAGGCACTTTCTTTATCCCTTTTTTAATTTACGGTACATATAGATTACATAGCATGTAAAACTACTGTATTGGATTGCAGTGGTGGAATTTATTTTAAAACTATTTTGTAAGGAAAATGGGTAGCAGAGTCCATTCAGCTTCTTGTATTCTTTGCTACAAATAATAGTTTTGATTACTATTACCTGTTGGTGAGATAATGAATGGAAGATACAAAGGAACAAATTATTGACATTAATTTTTGTAGGGTGCATGTAGGGAAAACTATTAGTGAGTTATAACATTTGTACCTTTGTTTGGGGAACCTCTTGCTTTGGTGGTCATGCATCCTCCCTTTCCCACACTCACTTTTGACTCTTTCTTTACCCTTTTTGTCTGTCTCCTAGAATATGTGTATTTTCCTATGTGTTCTAGCTTCCTCTGGCCTTTCATTGATTATTTTGGCTATTTTCAGAGAATCCATTTCTTGGATTCTCTGGAGATTTGTTTTTGTTTTGGTCAGGGAGTGGTACTTTCTGTGGGGCTTCAAAGTTTTTTGTCACTGATCATTGGTTCTCACAGACATTAGAAGCTATTGGAAATCTGACTTTTCTACTTCTACACTTGGTGCTTGGCCCCAACTAACCATCTGTAGTACAATGAAACACTATTTTTAACATTCTAAATATTACAATTTAAATGAGTAAATACCTAATTTTTGTATAGGGACAGGAATTGAAGGCTTGAATTTCTGAAAATGCTGCTATTTCTTACTACTTCTGAGGAGACATGCATTGTTTTGGGGGTTTTGGTGCTGATAGTGTTCTTCATACTTCAGAATAATTTGATTATGCTTGAGTGCAAGTAGACTCCAAGTAGATGTATTTTTCTTGATTTTAAAATGCTATTCATACTTTGAATATAGACATGGATGTGTTAGGTACTTGGGGGGGGCGGATTGGACTGGTTTTCTGAGTGGCAAGTGCTCTTCAGTTGCTTTGCCTTTGTGTTCACTACTCTGAACTTTTTCAGTCTGGAATTTCACTCTTGTGGTGAAAGAGGTTTCTTACCTTTGTTTAAAACCCTTATCTTTTATTGCTAATAACATTAGATTATCATAGCATAGTGTTCATTTTTCTGCTTAGGCCTCTTGTGTGCTTAGAATTCTGCAGTCCATTATTAACATTTGTTAACAACTATTGCACATTTCAGAAGCAACTGATTCAGCAAATCTTATAGCGTCACGTTCACGCCGTGAGAAGAAGTCTAAAAAAGGGAGACAGGAAGCACTGGAACGCTTGAAAAAAGCAAAGGCTGGTGAGAAAATCAAATATGAGGTAACTAAAAGAAAAAGAGTATTTGGATTTTAGTTCTTTATATTTTTAGCAGCTTAGGACTATCCTTGGGGGAGGTGGTTCCCTGTGTTGTGTGTGCACACTCTTGGCCTCTCTGAGTGTGTGTGTGTATAGAGAAACTTACTGAATGTGAATGGGCCTTCTGATGTTGGAGTATAATGGCCTGAATAGCTAATAGTGATATTGCTGAATATGATGGTTCTGTATATTCTCTGGTCTGTCTAAAAAAGAGGTACTGTTACAGTTGTTACACTCCTGTTACAGGTTGCGGAAATCACAAGTGTTTATGATGAAATTGACGAAGAGCAATACTCTAAGATTGTCAGAGAACGCCAAGATGATGACTGGATTGTGGATGATGGTTTGTGAAATGGATTATATTTTTCATCTCCCTGGGCTGACACTAAAGCTGCTTTTCTGTTAGTTTCCCTAAACCAAATCAAAAGCTGTCTATTTGGCTGATCCACATGTGAGCAGCCCAAGGACTGTGTGTGGCCCTTAATTCAAGCAACTCTCCTGTGACCTGTGTTGCCCATCTCTCCCCGCAACAGCTATTGCTGAGCTTTCCTGACCTATCCTTGGGTGGGAAAAGATTTGCAAGAGCTGCTCTAGCTTGCCATAAACTTTTTTTCTTTCTCAGATTCTTGAGAATGAAGCCATGGAATTTAGTGGCCTACAGTGGGAAAAGATGCTCTAGTCCTCCACGCTCCGTGGCTTTTCTCTGAAGGATCTAAGAATGAAGTCATTGACTAAGGCGGGTTAAAAGCTCTATGGAAGAACAAAGCTGCCTTTGTACAGTTGAAATAGTGAAAAAAGAAAGTAAGGGGAAAGTCTGGGTGTGTGAGCAAGAGACTGGAGGAAAGGGATTTTGAACCCTGCCCACTGCTAGCTCAGGGTCTACCCACAGCCATTTCTGACTATGCCCACTGCTAGTAGGGCTCTCAGGACTAAAAGGTTACCCACAATAGTTTGAAGGCTTAACAGCATTAGAAATAGCATTGTTTAAAGATTTCATTAGTGCCAGAATCTCTTAACATTTTTTGTTGCACTGGTAAATTCAAATGTAACTGTCTGTAATGTAGCAGATGTTCTTTTTGCACAGATGGGATTGGTTACGTTGAAGATGGCAGAGAGATATTTGATGAAGACTTAGAAGATGATGCTTTTGATTCTGAAAAGAAAGGTGAGTAAAAGTTCTTTTTCAGCATTCTCCTGAAGTTTTAAAAAGGAAAGTATAAAAGATTGCCGTAGTAATTCTTTGAAAAGTGACACATTTCTATATTGCTGATAAAAGTGGATTTTTATAGTGGGTGTTGGGAGCATAAGTTTTTGTATTTTGACCTGGTTATAGCATTGGTCTTCACATTGATTTATCCTCTGTTTGGCTTAAGCTGTTTATGATCTCTGTAGTCAAAATGTCTGCAGTTTTGCCAATTTAATAAGATTCCATTGAAAGTCCCTTTCAATCTGGAGCTTCTAAGGTGACGTGAACTGACTGCTGTGCAGCTGTTTCCTTGTCCAATCAAGCCATTAATGGAACTAAACCATCATTTAGCTATTGAACTGCACCTGTCACCATGAACAGTGTTCAGATGTAGCACAAAAACACAGTTCAGTATTACAAGAATAAGCCTTGTCTCCACTTAGACGAAGAGTTCAGAAGTGTTCGTGTCTGTTTTATTTTAACGCCAATCTGCTGTGTTGCCTGAAGCTGGAAATGGTGGTTACCATGACTTATGATTAATGGAAATAAGCCAGATTTAGGAAACTTAAGAGTTTCTATTATAAAAACTTAAATAATTGGGATAACACACTAAACTCTGGTTATTCTAAAATGAAAGTGAAAGCTTTCAAACTTTTTGCAGCCATTGCAGAAGAGATGGGGAAATATGCAAATCCAGGGAGAATCTAGTCTTGTGAAAAGCTCCATGGCTTTGGAGCACTTGTCATGGTGACATTTGGCAGTCAATAGGGGGTTAATTCACGATATGCAGGGATGTACCCCAAGTGCAAGATTTGTAGTGCTCCATTTGTAGGTTGGTAGTGTTACGTCTGAACCTGGGCACTTTTGGTTGTTTGTGGGCTAAACAATGCAAACAACCTGTGATTTTCTCCTGAATGATACCGAATCAGATCATAGAATTTGAGCTATGCTACCTCCTAGATGTTAAAGTACTGCTGATACATTATCTTGTAGGAAGAAGAAATGCAATTTCCCCAAATGAGAAGAAAAATGTGAAGAAGACTATGGTATCAAAGCCAAACACTATTAAATCTATGTTTATGGCCAGTACTGGGAAGAAAAATGCTGATGTAAGTTATTTTATGCAAAATATATAATTACTAATTTTATACTTCATTTCAAGACTGTTACTTTTTCTAATTTCCTGAAAAAGGCTGCTGAGGCTGTATTGGAAATGTTTTGTTCTTTAAGAGCTTATAAACTGATCACAGATACACTCATTCTGCAGAAAACCGTTGACCTGTCAAAGGATGATTTGTTAGGCGACATTTTGCAGGATCTGAATGCTAAGGTAGGAATTTGTTTCTGCTTGGTTTTTAAGATACAATTATTGCAGAAAGTGGGAGGGGAACAAGGCTTTAGGATTTTCAGCCTAAGTAAACCTGTTTGCATTTCTTCAGAAATTATGGAAATAATTTTAAATGTTTAACCGGATAAATAGTTAAAATCCCAATGTTTCAGGTATCTGAAAACATGCAGTATTTTGATCCAAAGTGAACTCTGTTTGTTTGTTGTAAAGTGTGAAGAGGCCTTGCTTTGTTGATAGGGCAGCTTTACAACAATTTTATTTCTTATGGACAGTATCCAACATTTTTGGTCTGCTTGCTTATATTAGTGGTGCATCAATATTGCAACTTCCAGCAGTATACCAATAGGGTAAGGTGGTGCAAAGTCTCTTCTGCAGAAACTTGTGATATTGGGGTATTGTTGGAGGTTGTTTATCTCAGTGTGAGAGGACAGGAAGTGTTGGATCCCGAATGTGTATTTTCCTTCAAGAAACTGATGGCATTTGGGTGTGTGGGGAGACATAAGGAAACCATTCTGTGTTATGGCAGTATACATCAGAACATCATAGTGCAGAACAAGTAGGAACTTCTCTTTGCTTTAGCAGAATTTGAAAAACAATGTAAACTTATTTTCTTAATGTAGTCCACTTATATAGCACCACCACCAGTTGCAGTGCTAAAAAAGAAGAGGCTTTTTGGAACACCACTGAATCCTTTTTCTGTGCAATCTCCGATTTCCAAGGTAATACTCCCAAATGGGAGTGTTAGTTTTTAGACACCTGCAACTTTAAAACTACTGTATTTTAAATCTTCAAGCTTCTTGATGTGTTTAATCATTTGGTTTGATATACACCATGGAAACTAAAAATAGTACTGTCAGTATAGTTAATATGATCAGTAGGATTGGGCAGCAATGTATTTCTGGTTAGTAGCATGGTTTAAGTTCATCAACTTAAATACTGGTATTGGATGGCATATAAAAACTTTATAAGCCTAATTTATTTATTTAATTTATACTTTGGAAGAGATTGTAACACAAGAATAAAGGCCTTATTTATTCCTGCCTCTAGAAAATAGATGCAGAGGTTGTACCGGGGTTTCTACCTCTTTAAATATGGTCATTAACATTATTTTTAGTCTTCAAGAGGGAATATTGTAATTTGCATATCTTTGTGGGAATAGAGTTAAACAATGTAAGACAAAAGAAAAGGTTGGGAAAATGCAATTTCATAGTGATAATCAGTATCGCTGATAAGTTTTAATTACCTATGTTTATAGACAGCTTCTTCTACAATGAAGAAAACTGCTATGCCTATCGAGCAAGAAGTTTCTTCATTAAATTCATCAAATTCTAAGCACAGAGTCTACACAGCTAGATCAGAGGCAGTCGAAGAGAGCAGTGATCCTGAAAATGGAATAGAAGCTATGGGAAACAGAGTAAAAACAAAAGCAGAAGAAGCTATTAAAGGTATTTATGATGATTTGGGGACAATGCTTATTATAAACCACATACATTGCAGTTTATCTTTGCTGTCTTGTACTGTAAAGCAGCATCTTCCAGGCTTAATTCAAGGTGCTCTTGTTTATGTTTAAAACCTTAAACAGCTTGGGATCTTATTAAGGTCTAATTTGTTTCAGATGTTCTTACATACTGTTTGCTGGATCTAAGCTGTGATGAGGTCTGATCAGTGTCTCCCCTCCTTTTATCTTGCATAATATTCATGTGCATGTATACTTACAGCGGAAGAACTGCTATATACAACAATGTGAAAAAACTGAATGTCTTACTGACAGTTTCCCATTCTTCCTTAGGTAATAAAATCTCTGAACCCTCCTTCATGCTTTAATTGTATACAAGATTCTTGCATACAGAAGACTGCAGGGTGACACTGCTGGCCCTTCTCCTGTCATTCACATTTTGAATGTAGGGGAGGCCTATACATTTGCTTATCAGTGGGCCTCCAATTTGTTAAATTGAATATATTTCAAAAAATGATTGTTTAAAAGCATGTGGAATGTTTGGACTTTGGGCTCCAAGTAGGATAGATCGGATTCTTTCTCTGCTTCTTCATGTGGACAGTAAATGCAGAGAAAGGAGACACTCTAAGGGCAGAGGGTCTCTGCCCTATAAGATAGGGCAGAAATGATGTGCTGTAAGGATCATTTACCATGTAACGTTTTGTTGGTTGGCCTAGAACTCTAAATGGAAGCTGTTGTCTTGAGCCCAGTTACCTCATGCCTTAACCTGGCCTTAGCCCTTGCTTGCTTCACTCAGCATCTGTGACTTCGTTCCAGAACCTCCAGGTGCAATTGCTGCATGAGATGTTGGGATGTTACTAGCAGCTGAGTCTCTTTGATGGTGACTTCTGGTCTCTGAAACACCCTCCCAAAGGAAGCTTTTCAGGCCCTAACACTTCATTCTTTTAAACATCTGACAAGGATACCACCATTCTAGAAAGCTTTGAATTAGTTGTTCTCTGAGGTTTTAATGATAGCCTCAATGATTGATGTTTGATTTTCTTGTACAGTCAGCCCTCCATATTCATAAGGGTTAGGGACACAGGACTCCCATGAAAGTGGAAAAATGGTGAATATCTCTACTCTCCCACCACCAGCCCATAACTCTTACATCTGTTGACCATACATGAACTAGATTGTTTCTTTCCCCTCTTTCATACCTTGGTCTGATCCAGCAGGACTGCTCTTCATTTATTGCATTCTTATGTTCTTCTTCCCCATCTTCCCTTTCATTCACCAGTGCCCCTTCTTTGCACCAAGGCAACGCCAGAGAGGTTTTCACCTCCAGATGGGTGGGGCAAGAAGGCATGTTTTGGAGGCCCTCCCTCTCTCTCCTTTTGCTTCCTCTTTCTCTATGCTGCTGCTGATTTTCTATACAAGGCTGCAGATCTTTTAAAAAATTCTATTTAATTATTGATGGTAAACTCATGAATAATCAAATCTGTGACAGTCAAGCTTGCAAAAGTTGAGGTTTGATTGTAATTTTCTATTGTATTTTTACTTACTGAATGCTTCTTATACAATTAGACTTGAATTTACTCCATGAAAAGGGTCAGGATATACATTATGACATCTCATGATTTAATTGTCTTGTACTGTGACATTTTGGCTTTTATGCCCCTTGTATAGTGCCCTAACAGGCAGGTGGGTTAAAATACTAGAATGAAAACTGTTTAGAGTATTTTCTGAAACTAAGTACATTACATTTCTCATGCTGCACAGTTTCAGAAGATGAACAGGCTATAATGGATTTCAATGATGAGGACTTTGATGAATCCATGGAAGAAATGGGAGGTGTAGCAGAAACAATTATAGACCAGGAAGAAGAGATGAACTCAGAAGAGAGACAAATGCAGCAAGAGGAGTCAGTGAAAACAGGTTCACATTTCTTGTAAGTACATGAAAGGAAATGTCAGGGTCTTTTTCTTTGGTGTTCATTTTCACTGATATCATCTACTGTATATACAACTCATCTTGAATGACTTCATTTATATGTGTTGAGTAATTCTTAATGAAATCTTAACTTCTCTAATTTGAGATACCATGAAAGCTTTAATTTTTATTTTTAGGGAGCTGTTCTTCAGCACAGATGTGACTTGGTTCTCAGTAGTGAAGAAAAGCCTGTTGAATAGAATTTAGTATTAAGACTTTATGGTTATTCTTTTTTAAAATCTTCACCTAAAAGATGTGCCAGTGTGGTGTAGTGGTTAAGAGCATGGGACTGGAACTCAGACAATCTGGGTTCTAGTCCCCGCTCAGCCATGGAGCCAGCTGGGGGACTTTGGGCCAGTCACAGACTCTCAGCCCAACCTACCTCACAGGGTTGTTGTTGGGATAAGATGGAGGAGGAGAATTATGTAAGCTGCCTTCAGCCCTTTGTAGGAAAAAGGCAGGATATAAATCAATAAATTAAAAAAAAAAAACCTTCCTGAGGCAGACGCCTCTGAAGATGAAGAAACTTCCTCAAAATATTCTAATTGATTGTATTGTGCTCTTAAAGTGTGAAGAATCTGTCTAGTGTTTTCTTTCCTGAAGGTCTCTTTGAATTCTCATTTTAAATATAGCCATATCTATCTTTTTCATGGCCTCAGAAGCTCTTCCCTCCCTGATGGTTCTGTTTGGGACAGAATTGATGAAAATGTAGAGTGTCTAGCTTCAGAAATGCAATCCATTCAAATGGATTCCAGTCAACTCCCATTAGTAAATACAGAAGATGGGCAGCAAGTCTTCAGGTTTTATTGGCTGGATGCTTACGAAGATCAGTATAATCAACCAGGTATGTATATATGTGAAATCACTCTAATCTTCCCTTTTGACCTGTGCCCATAAAGGATTGTTGTTTGGAAGAGGCTCAGTACTCACCACTTTTGCTTTGATGTGGAGAGTCTGTCTGCCTTTTGTTAAAGAAGTCTACCATTGCATAAGCCAGAATGCAGCAATAAGAACTGCAAAAGCAGTCTCGGTTTTCAAGCTGGCTGCAGTCTGAGTAGTCCAAAGAACATCAAACAAGGGTTCTTTACAGTAGGAGAGATGCTGTTACCTTTCCGCCATCATCCACATAGTTCTTTTGTGGATTTGAAACTTCTGCTGGGCATGTAGTAGTTAGTAATACTTAGATGTTAGTAATAAGCCCCTGGCCCTGAAAAAAGGTCCCTGGATTATCAAGTTTTTTATTTCTTGATCTTTAATGCAATTTAGCTTAATTTGTATGCATATCAAAGTCAGGAAGATGTAAAATGAGGGCAATGTCTAATGTTTCAGTTCAAAAGCTCAATTGCAGAAAATCAATTAACATTGATTTATATTTGGACAGGAGTGTGGTATGCTGACTATACACAAAAGTTTTACGATTGTAGATAATAATCACTAAAGCTTTGTAAAATTGGTGGCTAATATGAAAAATGCCCTCCCCCGCAAAGTGTATAGTGTTTTCACTTTGATCTTGGATATGTATGGTGGATTCTGAATGGTTCATAATTATGAAAAGACTTCTGTTCCTTGATTATGAAAAGAGATCCTGTCATCATAACTTTTCAAGCATGAATAATAAAGACTGCACCTGGTTTCAATTAGTAATGTAGAGGGAAATAAATTTTGGCATTACTTTTTTTAAGAGAATCATGATAGCTATAGCAAATGAGATATTAACTATTATGTGGAGGACTTGAGTTACTGCAGGATGAATTAAAATTTCACACAGGCCATGCTCACATGTAATGTGGCGTAGTGCTGTGTGGACTTCAGGCTTCTGCAAGCCCAAAGAAAACTTTGAGCACTTGTGCTTTCCCCTTCACCTTTCTGCCTGCGTAGTCAGAAGGCGGATGACTTAACTAGAATTCAGCCATGTGGCATGTGGTTTGTAATGAAGTGCAAACCAGGAATTGTCACTTGAAACAAGCCCTGGTTAAAAGAACCAGCTAAGCAAAAACGCTGGTTGAGCCAATGACTAGAGTTTGTTTTATATCATGGTTTGAGGTTGTTCTTGGATGTACTGAAAGCCAAGAATCTTAAACTGAATTTTAATTCATTGCTTCCCATGACAGCACAGGAGGCAGAGGGAGAAAGGGGTGCACAAGCTTGAAGCTTTGTTTGGTCTCATGGAAACTCACCCAGTAAGCATTAAAGCATGATTTAGTGTAATGTTTGAACTGTGACACATTCTACGCACTTAATGATTGTAGAGCAAAGCTGAAAAGTACTTCATTTCTAGATCTTAGATATCTATGTCCTTGTAAAGACTGCTGCTAATATTTATAATTATTTTTGCTCATTACCAAGTTCATGGCAGGAAGAGAATTCTGTGTGGTGAGCATGGGGTGATTAAGCAGAAACTGTTCTGAAGCATTAAACTATTCAGAGATCTGCACTTAAATATCATCATCTGCAGGTTGAGTGCTTATGCATTGTGGCTGTTGATGTACATTGAACATTTAATCGAGAGGCCAATTTGGCAGTTATTTATTCACATATTTATATGCCACCTATAAATAATATTGGCACCTTGGAGCCACTTGGATGATCTCTGCTATCACAAAGTTGCTTCTTAGAATTATCCTGTGATAGGAATTCATGAGGATCTTTGTCCTGTGAATGCAAGTACTTATTCTGATAATGAGCAAGAAAAATATGGTCCATGTGACTTGCGGCTTTCTGGGAACCACTTTGTTCCCTGTTTTAAGATAAACAGGAAACCATGTTTATGTAAAACAATGGATTTATCCTCACAATATAGAGTTGAAATTTTCCCAAATTAATACGCCTCAGGACATACAAGTTTAATGACAGTAGACAACTTCACCATCTCTTTTCTTGTATGTTAAAATATTTTTTCCTATTTATAGTATAGGAAAAAATTAAACCATGCTTTTCCCTAGTGGACACAGTCCAAGTGGCTAATAAGACACACAAAATAACAATTCTAACATTTAAAAAAAGTAAGTATAAATACTTTAAACAGGAAGTTCTTAGCACTAAACCAGCATTTACCAAAGCAGAAGTAATGGAAAAGAAGGAATAAGAATTCTAAAGAAGCATAGCAAGTTTACTTACAAATAGTTTGCATTTAATGGTTGCGTACTATCTTGATGTGTGCTTGCATAGTACAAGACTCTTAAAGCAATCACTTGACTGTAGAGTACTGACTTTCAGCAGATGGAGCTGTCAATTAGAGACTACAAATTGGAAATCATTCTGTTCCCCTGGGTGAATTAGTGTGTTTATTCAGTAATTCTTAGTATTGCAGCTTTTCCATTAGCAGCTGTGCTAAGCTGTTTTGATTAACATGCATTGTCTCTGTCTTTATCATTTTCTTGCATCTTAGGAGTGGTATTTCTCTTCGGTAAAGTGTGGGTTGAATTGGTGAAGTCCTATGTGAGCTGTTGTGTAACAGTAAAAAATATTGAAAGAACTGTTTACCTACTGCCACGTGAGTTGGTATGTCTTTTTATGCTATCAGTAGCAGACTTCTATCATAGTCTATTTTGTGGACAGCTATTCAGGCAAAAGACATTAAGGCAAACTTAACTCATATTGGTGACCAGTTATAGTATTGCTATCTTCTGTGTAACATGAACTGGAACCATAGATGAGAACAATGAAATATGAAGAGAGGATTGAGTAAATAACATCAGGTGATATTTCATTAAGATGTAGTAAAACCAATATTAAATGAGGAAAAGGGGATTGTTAGTGAGATGCCCGTGCAAGTTGCTGGTTTTATCATTTGTATAAATTAGTTTGGTTCATCATATCCATAGAACTGCAGTTATAAAATTCCAGAAAACCTGTGTGTTAATACCTTAAAACCATCTCTACTCTGATGTCTTTGGCTTAGTCCCTTAGTCCATAGTTTCAGTTAGGGTTGAAGAATATGTACATGTGCTTGTATTATCCATTGCTGCCGCCTCCTCTCTCCTGATTCTTTGAGAGTAAGTAGTTATCTCTCTCTGAGGCTGTAGTCATTGTCTAATCAGCACACAACATTTAAACATTGTTTGCTTTTAAAGAAATAAATTGCCTTATGGGTACTAAATTTCTTTTTAAAGCGAGTGGATTTGTCTTCTGGCAAAGAGACAGAGAATCCTGTGACTATGATGGATGTCTATCAAGAATTTAATGAACAAGTTGCAGAAAAATACAAAATCATGAACTTCAAATCTAAGGTATGTCTAACATTTTCTCCTTTCAGACTCATGTGTTCTCCTTTCAGACTCATGTTTCCAGATGTGGGTGAGGGACAGCTTTTTCAGACAGGAGACACATCTGACAAGAAGAACTTGGGATACATAAAAGGATACATGTCTGTCCATGTCTGTGGTATATCTAAATACATAATGGCTCAAATACCAGCTGCTCACTCTGATAAATGATATTGTCAAATAGAAATCATATTTCCCTCTTCAGGAAAAGTCTCATCTAATTAATTTTAAAATGTCTGCTAAATCTGTCATTACAATTATTGGGAACAAATTCAACTTAGTGAGAATAATACATTCTAGACAAAGCTACTTTAAGTGTGCTTTTCTAATGGGAGTGGCAGTAAGCCAGTTTTAAACCTTTTAAAAACATTCTATTAGTATTTTATAAAACTATGCTTGCAATAGTTATAATGGACAGGTTGCTATCCAGAGCTTAATTGGTAGCCAACTCTATGTGCAGTTTTTTAAAAATTACTCAGTCTTCACATCAGTCCCCAATTGTTCAGTGTTTCATAGGATGGCCACTGACTCTTTAGGATTCAGTATTACCTCATACAAATAACTCATGGTAATAAGGAACCCATTCATCTCAAGTGTTTAATGTTAACACGTGAGGTCTTAGCTGATTAAGCTGGGGCTAGGTCTTAGAGGTGAATTTGGAATAACAGAATATAAGTAAGAAACCAAATTTTAGTCATAGAAAAGCTGAGGATTTGCATTGCAGATTTAATTTTCATGACCTAATATGTATTCAATATGACTTGATTAAATGCAAACAAAATAAATCTTGAGGGAGTCTCTCTAAGGGGGAAGAAGTTGGTGTCTTATTGTTCACATAAAACCAGGTACATCTGAGAAAGGTACAGCCCTGTGGTACTGTTTTGTCAGTGGATAGTTCAGTATCTAATGAACTATGCAATTTCATGTAACATTCCAGGCTGCATGAGACATGACTTATGAGCTGGGAATCAGTGTATGATTTGCATGCTTCTTTTCCTCATTCCTTGTGCACCAGCTTTGGTTCAGAGATTCTGCTTTAATGGTGGCCTACTAACCAGTTTATTAAATTAAGGTCTGATCAGGCCATGATTAATGACTATTAATTTTAAACCAGCCCTTCATAGAAGTTAGGAAGATCATTTTAATAGGAGAACACAAGTGACCTAATCAAGTGTATCACTTTTACTGGTGTTGCAACCACCATATTGATCCTAATGTGAAATCTAGACTAAAACACTTTCTGCCCTCCACCTTTTATATGATCTCCGATGAATTCCTATTTTCAGTGTGAGGGCTCTGAATTTCCCCTTGCCCAGTTCCATCAAATGGGGGAAATAGAATGCATTTTAAAGCAATTTAAAGCAAAATACTCAAAGCAAATAACTGCAGCCTTCAGGTTATAAATTTGTGTTGTCACATAAAGGCTTGCACAGTTCAGATTTTGAAGTTAAAAGTATTAAATAGTAACATTTTTATTAAAGTGGGGAAAACATTTAGAGTATCACTTTGTTATATAATGTCAGGTGAATATCTCAATCTGTATTTTGCCTAGAAAGTGGAAAAGAATTATGCTTTTGAGATACCAGATATTCCTGTGAAATCTGACTACTTAGAAGTTAGATACTCGGTGAGTAAATAGCACCACACTCTTTCTCTGCTGATGATTCTTAAATTTAAAAAAAATCTTGTCTTTCTAAAAAATGTGCAGTGTTTTTTAAATGTACTTTATCCTTGATGCTTTATACTCAGTAAGTATTGTTTGCCATCTGGTCTGGCAATAGCAAGTAAAGAGCAAATAAGTTTGCTAATAGACTGTGATTGCATAGGAATCAGTTGGGCATGAAAGGTATTGCTTTTTGTTGTCTTAGCATTGCTTTGAAAGGAACTGGTATTTTAGCTTATGCACTTCTAACTATATGCATTTGTACTGGGTTGGGAGCATTGGAGAAGAATGATACCTTTCTTCTTTGCCTTGTGATCACTGGTATTATTTACTCCTCTGTACAGGGAACTCCTCATCCAATAATCAGGATACGTGATGTGTGTAGTTAAAAGATGGCTGTACATTTGTATACTTGATAACCAGAGTAGAAAATCTGGTGCTTCTAAATGTTTTGAACTAGAACTCTCATAATCTTAGATAATTTATGCTGGCTGGGGTTATGGGAGTTGCACTCTAACCCTTACCCTGTAATTACCTAACATAACCTGTGTTAGTATAGGACAGTGCAGGTGGGGAAGTTTCTTCGCACTGTCATCCCAGCAGAGGCTCGCTTTTGGCCGACGTTAATAGTTGCTGGCTGTTTCTTTCCTTGAGGTTTGGCTAGAAAAGCTCCCTATATTTGGATTATGCCTGTAGAGCTGCAGTTTGGTCTACTTGGTTTGCAGCCTGCCAGGTGCTTAACAAGCTGCGTATGTGTTGCTGCAGAGTAAGCTTATTGTGCACTTGGTAGATTTCTTATAGTTTATGAGCATTTCATTTTATATGTCTAGTGCAAAGGGGGAGCGTTGAGGCTTCTTCATTTTGGTCTGTCTTGTACAACAAGAACAAAAAATATTGGAGAAATGTTGCAATGCATAGTCCGATAATGCATTAATATGCTTCAATTCTCAGACTGAATTATGTCGGCTTCCTCAAGATCTGAAAGGAGAGACATTTTCTCATGTTTTTGGAACAAATACCTCTAGTCTAGAACTATTCCTATTGAGCAGGAAGATTAAAGGACCAAGCTGGCTGGAAATAAAAAATCCACGTATGACTATTTCATATATACTATGTAATGGATCCTTTATATGGGGTTGCAAGTGCTGTAGTGGTGTTCAGGACAAAGTTTATCTTGCTATACTGAGAGAAAGGGATATCCTAAAATCAAAATTTTATTTTATTATATTTCTAGACTGCCCAATTGCCAAGGCTCTCTAGTGGTTTACAAAGAAGCAAAAAAAAAGCTTTGTATGCATTTCCAGATCAAAGTGAAGTCTGCTTCTAACAGTAGTCATAAATCAGCAGAACTTACCCTTAGCTTCATTATTTTAGACAGGACTGCATAGCAGGTTAAATTTATCCATTGAAACTGCAAGTTTATTTTTATTTTATTTAATAAAAGGTTTTCTAACCTGTCTACCACTAATGTCTCAGGATGACTTACAATAAAAACATTAGTTCCATCTCTTTGGTGCTGATACCTCCAAAGTGGCATCTATTTTGCCATATACTATATTTTTCCGTGTATAAAATGCTACTTTTTCTTAAACATTTACTTAAAAATGGAGGTGTGTCTTCTACACGGGGAGCTGCTGGCACGTGGGTGGCGCACGGCAGCAGTTTGCTAACTGGAGATGGGTAGGAAAGTGGGGAGTGTCCTATACATGGGGGCAGCTTATAGATGGAAAAATACGGTAATTTATCTGTTGTATATACAACAACTTAATGTTAAATGTGTAGCTTGTACTTAATAGAACTTGGAAACCAATCTAGCTAAAATAGGTTGGGACTAAATTAGAGTAGGGCTACTTTGTAAGTCATTGTGCATTTGGTGAGTCTAAGGCTGAGATCTCATGCCTACTGACCTAGGAATGCACCTAACTGAACTCCATGGGACTTGTTTCTGCATACAATTGTATAACATTGTGTTAGTCATATTTTTTAAATCTGGATAAAGTTTCAGTAACACCAGTGAGTTCATAGTCACTTAATATTTGAGTAAACATGGTTAGGGTAGTATCAGTGCAGCTAGTATTACAAAAACTAAACTAAAGCAAAAAAAATGTATAAGTCATCTTAAAACAATGGTTAAAATGGTATTCTGCTCCACTTAATTTTTTGGCTAATTGTATGTGCTAAATTTAAGCATTTACAATTGCTTAAATTGTTTACATATGAGTACATTGTTCTGTATATTTGAAAGATGGCTTCTTTGTTACCTCAGAGATCTCAAGCCAGTCTGTCAGTTGGTGTGCAGTGGAACTGGTGGCATTGAAGCCTGACTTAGTGAGTGTGTTGAAAGATCTGCCCCCACCTCCTCTTGTGGTCATGTCTCTTAGCATGAAGACAGTTCAGAACACAAAGACTCATCACAATGAGGTGAGACGTGAACATTGCCATGTGCAGAAAAAGTCCTTCGAAATGACCTGTAAGTCAGTTCCCTGTAACTGAATGTACTGAAGAATTTGAATCCTGTAGAACTCGTAGTACATTTCTGTTGTCTTTAATTGGATTATGTCAAACTACTTGAAGCAAATGACTCTTTGAAGATACTGACTTTTGCTGGTTTGTAAATGTCAAACTGGTTCATTTTCCATATTTTTATTAAAATGGTATATTAATGGTTTTGGAAGGTTTTATACTTGAAGTGTGTGTGTCGCTAAGTGATTTGGTATTTCAGTTTGTGCAGCAATATCCCATTTCTCAGAGCTTGTCTATTTAAAAGGAAGAGAAAGAAAAAACAAAAGCACAAAATAAATTGTATAGGAGTGATGCTTTAAGGCACAGGCAAAAGAAATTCTAGGATCTGACAGATAGTGAAAGTAAGCTTCATCTGCATACCAGAGGCAAACCTCTCCCCTCACTCTTGAAGTTGTCATTGTTCCCAAGAAACTTGTTTATATCCTATTTTCCCATTTTAAAAACAAACTAATAATTGAAATGAGTTTCAAAAGAAGTTTATTTTTATTTTAGCTTTTAATTTAGTTTTTGCATACATTGTGAAAACTAAACTGACCAACTGCTGTTTGTACTTTATTATTAAATTTATATCCTGCAAGTCAATAGTCTAACACTACTCTCTTTGCACATATCTATTACCTTTTTCAATTAATATGAATTTTATTTAGCTATAACATAGGAATTATACAAGCTTCTCAACATGCTACTTCATGTGAATAGGACGACCCTTTATATATAATTCCAAGACATGATAGACTTCATTGAAATCTGTCTGTACTCTGAACCCATTCTTACAATTAAGCAATGTTCTCTTTTCTTATGAACTCTTGACTTGTTTGACCGATGGGTTGTTGGGATGTCTGAACCCAGCACCATATCTCATCCCTGGGTTGTTTGAATTGCTGTTAGCATTCAGTATCAGCAAAAGCAAGCTGAAAATAAATTTCTTTGAAGGGTGGCGAAAAGGACAAAAGGTCAGGGAAACAGTCTTCAGTTTGTTTGCTCATATGCAAGACAGTTTGTAGTAAAAACAAACCATGATGAACAGGAATCATGACTTAGCATTATTTGCAAATACTGTATATATTGTCAAGTTCAGAATGGTGATGCAAGGTTAGATTTATTGAATAAATGAATACAACTGAATGAATGAATAAACAAGATGCAGCTCATTTGTTAATATGAAGTGGTTAACAAGTGGAGAACTTTAACTTGCTTCCTTTATGTCTCTTCTATCTTTTTCATTTTTGTTCATTTTTGTTTGTGTAGATTATGGCTATTGCAGCTTTAGTACATCACAAATTTTGTTTGGACAAAGCTCCACCTGTGCCTCCTTTTCAGACCCACTTCTGCGGTAGGTATAAGTAGAACCCTACTGTGTTAAATCTTTGCTTCCCCCCACTCTTCAAGTTGGAGGCTTGAGGGTTTCATATACAATCAGACCAATATTATTCAGCTGTTGGCTTGGCACATATTCTGTTACAGGGGCTCTACTGAGTGACAATTTCTAGTTTTATCTAAGAGTGTGCCTTTATTTCTGCAACTGAAAGAAATCTGTAAAAACAGCCAAAATGTGTAGTACTGAGGTTGAATCTATACTTAAACTCTCAAGATTATCTAATCTTCCTGTCTTGTGGAAAGCTGTATATTTGAACAGTTTATTATCTTCTAAGGTGGGCACGGGATCAGGGATGAAGTGCAAAACCCCAAGTCCTTAAACTTTAGATTGTTAACCGTATTTAATCTGTTTAAATGTAGTTGATATTGATGAATTTCATTTCCACACTGTCCAGTAGCCTAAGCTCTAAGAGTGGCTTCTAACAGTATATAACAGTAATAAAAATGAAGTAGTTAGGATGAATATGATAATTGAGTTGCGTATAGTGGTCAGTGATATAGTGCAATGTACTATTGGACAAGGAATTTGCATGGCTGGAATTGGAGGCCAATTAAAGAATTTGGAAGGATGTTGAGTTTGTGTGTGTTGGGGGGGGGGGGGCAAGGATGGAATGAGATTCTTATCCATTGAGGGAGAGCAGCTGGAAAGGGTTAATTCCTATGCTCACTTCTGACAAAGAATAAGCCTAAAGGTTGTAGCATTCAAGCTTCAGATAACTAAACATGTTACAAAATGGTGGTTGGGGATTCTTCATTGTCATACAGGGAGAAAGGATATTTGATTACTTACTGATTATTGGAGAAAGAGTAATGCAAGATTAAGCTGAGGCCTTATGCCTGTTTGTTAGCGTAAATGGGAGGGCAATGTGAGTGGGTGTAGAGAATAACTGGGGGAGGAGCAGTGGGGAAATAGTGTGCTAGAAATGATATGAGACATCAAACTAGAATTATTGGGTAGCTGGTGATACAGAATAATAGGGGACCCAAGAACAGGGCCTTCAGGAGCTTCTGTGGGCAGAGGAGTTTTCTGCTACCAGTCCCAGAAACTTTAAATGATTTGAGGTTGGCAGTTCTAGTGGATTGCAGAGGGTGGAAGGAAGAAGGTTAATAGAAGTGAACATGGTTCAGGTGCTTGAAGCTGATGGAAGGAGGTCATAGTAGCCAGATGACTAGGATAAGTTGAGATGATGATATTCTTTTGTTTTTTGTTTTTAGAGACTTTAAATAGGTATTTGAGACTGCTGAGGATGGAGCTGGAGAAGTAAGATATAGGATGGGTAGATGATGACAGAATATGGGTGTGAGAGTGAGCAAATCATTAGGGACATGTTGGAAGTGCTAGAAGAAAATGCTCATTTCCAAATGAGGCTGGGAAAATAAGGAAGGAGACAGAAGGAGAAGTGGTTAAATATTAGTATGGACAAGGAGGTGGAAGACTTAAGAGAGGAAAAGGAAATAACTATCTGAATGAATGGTGAGAAGGCAGTGACCTTGTTTGTATGGCATTGTGACAATTCCTAGGTTTAAGCTAGAAGTCATGATAATGAGCAAAGCATGCAGGATGTGGGCTTGTTGTTCTGTTCTTAACAACTATTCCTGGATTCTTTTGTGACATGTGAACCCAGAATTTTAGCTGTTTATTGATTAAACAGACAAGAGTTAACTCAACAAAGACTCATTTGTTGTTGTTAATGTAACTGAGTTACTAATAAATAACCCAGAGTTTTTGGAATCGCGCATCATGAAACAATTGAGAGAGTGTTCCTAGATTATTAATTAAAAGCAGAAATGATGAGTGCACAGCTTGTGACTTTTTCTTTATGCGTTTCCTGAGCATTTTCTGACCCGGGAAGTGCTACCATGACTAGTGAACAGAATAACTGAGAATCGTAATCAAGGGAGAAGGCAGGTGGTGTTACAGTGCCACAGATAGATCTGGATAAGAGAAGGAATGCAAGTAGAAAGGAGAGCTCTGACATAAAGGAGATGAACAGAGCTAGCAAGGAAAATGAATTAATATGGAGAACAAAAACAAATTGTAGGGAGACATCGAGCCACTGTTGATCATTAGTTGGATTGTTTCTAACGTATAATATATACATAAATTTCTAGTCACTTTCAGCTTTATTTTTAAACCTTGGACTGCCTTGAGGACACTTGAGAATAAGCAGTCAACATAATGCAGAACATGAGCTATACCTTAACAATTCTGATATTGTGTATATTTAGTTGACTCCTTTCTTTTGCAGTTATTTCAAAACCAAATGATTGCATTTTCCCATATGACTTCAAGGAAGTAGCTAAAAATAAGGTACTTCAACATCTTCTTGTTTTGTGTTGCATGTTGCTTTGCATGCTGTATCCTTTACTTTTGTGGTGATCTCGTGATAACAGAATTGAAGTACATTCTGCTAGATATTGGTGAAAATCTAGGATCAGATTTACCTGTTCAGTTCTGAAGTATGCTTGATATAGAAGTCTTTTTCTTTTTGATGTTTTTGTTGGATTGAGTCCATTTTTTAGAAAGTGCAGCAGGTTTGATAGGAGTAACAAAGAGCTTTCTGTGCAAGTTATGTATACAGGTGTATAATCAGTTGAGGAAAATGTTACATGATTGTGACCAAGCTCTTTGATCTGGTTTGGACCTCTGTTTCTTGGGCCAAGATATGAATGGACTTTTCTGCCTATGCACTCTGTCAGGATGCTGTGATCAAATGCGTTCTGGGTTTCTTAACCATAATTTCCTGTTTCTAACCAGTGAAACTATAGTTAGTGGATTTCTAACTTACTATGATGTGAAATAGAGTTCAAGCCATAAACTTGGTATCTGCAAGAAATCAGGTAGACGTGCCTACAGAGAGGATTGGGGAACCTGCTAAATGGGGTTGAAAGTGGGGGGAGATGCAGGGAAGAGGTGGTATCTCAATATTGGGTGGAGGCATCATTCAGCAGGAAGTGTACTTTTGTTGCAGCTACCTAGATTTGCATGTGTCCTTTGGCCCTTTGTGAGGCACTGCACACACAAGTGCAAAGGGGGTACAAGAACAAACAGTGAGACTCCTAGCCTTTTGCAAATCATTGCTTCATAAGCTGAGGTTTGTTGTGTTCGAAGTAAGCCTTCAGATTGTATCTTAATGGATATACTTGGAGTATGGAGCAGTGTACAAATGTAAAAATAAATAAATGTGTAGAGAACCATCCTTGTATGAAAACAAAAAAGTGTTCTCACCTTTTCCTAAATTATTATTATTATTATTATTATTATTATTATTATTATTATTATAATAACATTTCTATGCCTCCCCTTGCCGAAACCTCGGGGCGGCTTACAAATTTTGGTTGTAGAGGGTTGGGAGGGATTTCTGAACTTTGCAGTCTGGCATTTCTTTATGTGTGTCTGAGAGTCATGGAGCAGGCAATGCAATCATGCGTAGGTGAGGCAGGATTGTCATGTTTTAAATCTTGTAAGCACTTGTTGAAATTTTGTGTTTTTTTGCTTAGAATGCTAAAATAGAGATTGCCACAACAGAGAGGACATTACTGGGTTTTTTCCTGGCAAAAGTTCATAAAATTGACCCTGATGTTATTGTGGTAAGTAACTCTCTGTGCCACTTGCCACTGTGAGACCCTTTCACCTGTCATCGTTGGTTTAGCTGCTCTGATAGAACGAAACGTTGGCAAACATTTTAAGCATGGAAGTGAATGTCAGCAATGGAAATGTGCAACAGTGAGTTTTCCTACTGGTGCAAAAGATAATGGAGCCACTGGGAGAGAATCTTATATAGGACATTGAGACAAAATGTGGTTTGGTGCACTTGGGAAGAAGGTTTGCATAACTGGAAAAATTAAGGCTGAGAGCCCAGAAGTTAATATGGCTGGAAAAAAAGAGGGCAGTGCAATAGAAGAGACCTGGGGGTGATGAGCTGGGAAGAGAGAGCTAGTGAGAAGGTGAGTTCTGGACATGTGGTATTGCAGGTGAATGAAAAGGCAGAGGTGCTGGATGGGAGGGATTAACGACATGTGTATTCAATGGGCCATATTACTAATTAAATTTAGGATTACAGCAATCTTACACGTGTCTACCCAGAAGTAAGTCCCCTTGTGGTCAACAGGAGATATTTCCAGGTAGGTTTATATAGGATTGCAGCCTTATTTCCCAAAGTTTTCAGAAATACCAGTCGGATTCTGCATTATAGGTTACCCTTGGTAAATCAGTGATTCTGTGCCATTCATGAGGATTCTTTGATCTGTTTTGAGGTGTACTGCAGTGGTACAGCCCAAATTCTAATAGTTCGTTCCTTGCTATATAGGAAGTGTTTCTAGACAAAAAAAAGTATCCTGATTTTAAGAGAATATTACAATTAATATTTTTTTAAAACTTTTGTGTTGCATCATTCACATGAGTGATAATTCTGACTTCAAATTAGACCCAACATCCAAATATCATAGATTGTTTTAAGCTGAATATATAGGCCTTGTTAATTTTTGTTTCTTTTTTAAGGGGCATAATATTTATGGCTTTGATTTGGAACTTCTTCTTCAGCGAATTAACTACTGCAAAGTTCCACACTGGTCCAAGATAGGTCGACTGAAGAGATCAAACATGCCAAAGCTTGGGGTAAAATTAATTTGAAATCTCGTTGCTCAGTGTGATTAAAAATGGACAATTTTGTTGCTGTATTGTGAATACCTCATTCATATGTTTTGACTAGTCATGTACTATGGCTTACATACTGATTTTAGATTCCAGTAATGTTGTTGATAGTCTTATTTGAACAGTGAGACAAAGCCAAGCAAATTTAGTGTACTTGTCTCAAGTAGATGGAGATATTGACAGATTAATGAACAATAGAAGTGCTTTGTGTGTCGTAAATTGTGGGGAAAATGTATGTTGGTTTGACTGGCAAATCATTCCTTAGAGAATAGCTATGTTTTCTAGTTCTGCTTGATATCTATAGCTCACTACATCCAGTGTAGTTACACATTCTTATGCTGTCTGTGAATGTATTTTACTTTGGCCCAACACTAGATGTAGCCTTTGTGGCAAAGAAGTTAACCTGTTCACATCTTTTTCTATTTTTGTCTAGGCTTTTTAAATTGCATTTGGATGTTGATATTCACCATAACATCCTTGATAAAATCAGATTCTTGCATCACATGATCAATGCTGCAAGTACAAACTATGTGGGCACATGCTTATATGTGCACGCACACACACAAGTATATGTCTGATGTATCCAATCTGTATAATCTAATGGTCGCCAAGTGTCTGGCCAGCACAAAATATTCTGGAAGATCTGAAGAAAATGTTACAGTACAAATGCTTGTGCCATTCTGTTGCCTGTGGCAATTTTGGAAATTTTTATAACCTAAGATTGCAATCAAAGTTGCCTGTTGGTTATGCTATACTGTAACTTAAAGATGTGCAAATTTTTCTACACCTTGGTAACAGATGGAAGTTGTTTTAATGTTTATGCCAACAAGATATAACTGTTAGATGGAAAGCATGCCATTTTCTTGAGTTAATTAAGCAGACCCAACAAGATATGATTATGAATGTGTTAGTTACAACTGCCTTTGGTGAAACAATACATTTTTATTTAGTGTTTGACAATGATTTCCTTACTGTCCTACAAAGTTTCTTGTATATACCTCTATACAGGAAAGAGAAACAATTTCTGTTTGATGTATAAACTATGACAATTAGTCCAGAGCAAAAACACAGCATGGATATAGGCTCTGAAGATGTGCTTTTCTTTGATGGCTATTTAAGGGTCGTAGTGGATTTGCTGAAAAGAATGCCACTTGTGGTCGAATGATTTGTGATATAGAAATTTCAGCAAAGGAGCTGATTCGTTGTAAGAGTTATCACTTGTCTGAACTGGTCAGTCAGATTCTGAAAATGGAAAGAGTGACAATTACAGCTGAAGAGATAAGAAATATGTACAGGTATGTATCCAGTTACTTTATTTTGAAATGGCAAGCCTGTTTCCAATGGCTAAAACAAGTAAATTATTTAATTACTATTTACATACTTGTAAAGAAATATAAAAAATGCCCAATCAACTGCAGATATATAGGAGCTTTCCATGTGAAGGATCATGTTAGAGTGATTCCCTCACTTTTTTCTAGTAACTCATGGTTTTCCAGGAAAGGAAAGTATATCTTAGATGTTTGAATATCATGATTCTGTAGCATGTAGCATTACTCCAACTGGACAATATAGTATTTATGTACCACTATGTGATGAGTAAGAGACTTTTATTGGAAGGAGTAGAGGTTTTTTTTACTGAGGGGAAAAATGATAGGACTGAAGAAACATGGGTGTCCCCAGGGTTCCATGTTAGCTTGTATTGTGTTCATTATTTTTGTTAGTGACGTTGGAAGGGGAAGTTGAAATTTTTGATTTTTCAATAAGATGTATTGAATGGAAACAATGGAAACTGCTTATGTTCACTGTACATTCATGAAGAAATGCTGATGTCCTCATGATATGAAATAATTGAATGAAAGTCAATAATATTGTAAACTTATTCATATAGAATTGGACAATAAATCTTGCCTGAAGCGTCATTGGGGCAGAGTGCTCTCATTGCTAAAGATGAAGTGTTTGCTTCTTATGTTCCAGCAGATCTTATGGAACCGTTGAAACCACTTTCAGGCAGGTGTACAGCCTGGCTATTTCTTAAGGTCAATAACCATGTTCAAAGGTTAAATTCAAGATTGTAATTACAAATAATTTACCATGGTCAGGTGATAAAGGAATTTAGCTTGCAACAACAATGATGAGAGGGAATAAGTTAGTATATTGCTAATGGATTTGGATAAAGTACATTACTTAACCTCTAACCCCTGATTGTTAAACCCTAATGGTTTAATTATTCATTTTTATTTTTTTATTTATTTCACTGACTCTATTTTATATGCTAACTTAAGCAGCTGTAAGCTGTCCAGGTATGGGTTAGCATAGAAGTAGAATGAAATAACTTCACCCACCAAAATGCCGTAGAAGTCTTGCATTCTGACTTGGATTCCTAATTCTGTGGAGAAAGCAGGATAGGTTCCACTAAAACAGCCTTCTCCAACATGTTGCCTTCGAGAACCCCCTGCCTCCAGGCAGTCAGTCAGCCATGCAAATTAACAAAATTTCTTAGGATCACTTCAATGCAAAGTGAAGGCCTCCAGTTGCTTCCATCTTCCTTTTCTATGCAAGCCTCTGGGCCACCTGTGATTCTTCAAAACATTCCTAGGAAATAAAAATTGGGGCTGCAGGCCAGTGCTTTCCTCTGCAGTGTGTTGCTTTTGTGGTGGAACCAAGAACAGTTTTTCAAATAGTTAAATATTCCTGTGAGCCCCCAGTGTTGTCCTGTCACTTTCTATAAAGAAGTAAATGAATAGAGCTGTTCTCATAGTCTAGAGAGAGTGCCTTCTGATCACCTCTTAGTCTGGCTGTATGTTTGAATGTAGCACCCAACAAACACTTTGTTTTGTGCAGTCTTATTGTTGTTTACTAGAATGCTATGTGGATTGATTGATTGATTGCATTTGATGCTACCACTTACCCAAAAGGCTCTCTGGCACCATACTAATGCTACTGTTTCTTCTGATTAAAAGTGCTAACACAGTCATTGTAACTTTTGTAGTGGTTAAATTTTAAATTTACTGCCCAGATAATTTTGAGCTCTGACTTTGGGAACATGGTGATAGCAATTTGAATGCACTTATCTTCACCACAAATGTGGAGGAATTCATTAAAAATGTCTCTGCTTCTTCTAGTGATTCTCGCCACTTACTTTACATGTTGGAGACCACCTGGATTGATGCTAAATGTATTTTACAAATAATGTGTGAACTGAATGTTCTTCCACTTGCCCTACAAATTACAAATATTGCTGGCAATGTTATGGTAAAGCTCATTTTTCTTTCTAAACAAATTCCATTTCAGTTATATTGTTTTTAAATGTACATTTTTATTTTTAAAAACAAGTTCTTTTTCTAATAGGGTATATGTAAATGAGTTGTGCTAGTATATTCTCATAACACCAGAAGTCCTTTTTAACACAGTTATGTTGACTAAGCCACACCAGATTGTTATCTTGTACCTTACCAAATAGAATACTGAGACAATGCTCCTAAAATCCAGTGATACTCTTGAAAAAATACACATAACAATAGCATCGCTGACATGTTGACATTTGTTACAAACTGTATCTATGTGGCTCTTACTTTTCCTACAGTCAAGGACTCTGATGGGTGGGCGAGCTGAGCGCAATGAATACTTGCTCCTTCATGCATTTTATGAAAATAATTATATTGTGCCTGATAAACAACTCTTTAAAAAGCCGCACCAGAAACAGGTAATTTTTCCTGATCTTCATATGTTATAATTGGCTGATTTAGAATTACTTGTGCAAGCAATGGCATGCTTGGGCTTCTGTACCCCCTTTTTCCTCCCATTGTGGCATATAAGGAAAAGGCAACTGGAATTTAGCCAGTTAACCAGATTAGTTGACAACAGAGTTTCTTCAAACAAAGCAAGAACATGGTTTGGGATCCTGGATTATTTAAACTAGTAATAATTTAGCATTCCCCAGGTTTGGATGTAATAGGGGATTTTGGTTACATCTGGTTAAAAATTAAAAGTAGATGTTTTGCCTCTTGCAGGTGTTAGATGAGATCAATCAGAGAAGAGAGGAAGTGTATGAACCCGAAGCTTGATGCTTCTAATGTTGAACTAATAATATATCAGAGCTGTCCTGCTATTTTGTTTCTCATTGTATCTGGGGATGGTATTTCAAAACTAATTTTGCATAGTTTATACTGGAAGTCCCTTTTGTTCACGCTAAATACCATTTTTTGGCTGCTGTTAAGTTAGTAACTAGTTGCACGTTGTTTAACCCTGTACTTTAAATATACTTTAAAGGAATGGTAGATGAATGACACTCAGTGAAACTATGTAACATCTTCAGCACCATCTCAGAGTGTCTCTATCTTTCCATCTCCCCTTCCCAACTAAGACATGTAGTTCCCAACTCTTCCAAAATTTCAGAGATTTATAACCACAATTTTATGGATATTCATTTAAAAGCAAGTCCCAGTTTTCTCAGTTGGAGTTACTCACAATTATGCAGTGAATTAGAGTGTGGGATTCACTTACTTGAAAGTATGGCTTAATGAACACAATGGTTCTATTAAATGACTTAACATCCTTTTCATTGACTGACTGAATATGTTAAATGCCAAAGTATATAGTTATATAGTTATTTTAAGTTATGGGCAGTGTGCTCGATCAGAACTGATTGCTTTTTTTAATTTGACCAGTCTCTCCCTTTTTATTATATAGGTGTCCTTAAGGCAAATTATTTTTGAATCCCCCATTATTTTTCTCCTGTATTATGATCAATCTCTAACTTCCACTCGCCCCCCTCAGAGTTTGATAAAAAATAATGTACAATTAGATCTTTGATTTTGTCCTATTTTGTCCAGCTGGAAGAAGATGATGATTTAGAAGGTGGTCAGAATAAATCAAAGACAGGACGAAGAAAAGCGGCATATTCTGGAGGTTTAGTTTTGGATCCAAAGATTGGTAAGCACTACTTGGGAAATTAGATCAAACCATGAACTGGAACAGTGATCTAGACAAACGACTCTACATTAAGTCACATTCTATTCATGTTGAACTATGTTCTTTTTTTAATGAAACACCAATAACAGTGGTGGGAGCTTTATAGGAACAGTAATGTTGTACATCTAAACTCATAACTGTTTCCATGTTGGGAATCCAAGGACAAGTATTTGCTTCAATTTTGAGAGTGGTATATTTTTATTTTATTTACTTATTTAAAACATTTCTATGCCGCCCCCATCGCAACAAAGCCTCGGGGCGGCTTAATTTAATAGGGTTTAAATTATAAATCAAACTGTTATAGTTTTACACAGATATGTTTCAAAAGAGTGATAAAATAGCCATCAAGACATTTAAGGCTAACTATATCATTAAAGCCAACAAGAATCCAGCAGGACTTTGGACTAATGAACCTTGCATAGGATTAGCCTATTAATCCACAGAGGGCTTTTGAGTTATTAGAGTGTTCTGTCCTTGAATATTAAACCAGTGTAATACAGCTCATCATACTTTAGTTACATGATTAATCCAGTGTTCCCCTCCCAACATGTAACAGTACAGCCAGTGACCATTATCCAATATTGCGGTTGCACCTCTGCTGGTTCTGTTGCATGCACAGGGTCCACCATGAGCACAGTAGGAATTAGCGCTCCCTAGAAACCCTAAAATGCTTGTTTTCTGAATGACACAGGTCAGCAAGCTCCGTTCTGCAAGCTTTACTAACCTGTACCATTCTAGAAACGATTGTAGCAGCAATTTCCACTAGCATTTGGGCTTTAATGGACTCTGTGCTGAAAAATTATTCCTAGCTGTTGTAATTTGAGCTATTTGCTATTTAAATTCATTCCCGAAAACAAGATGGCAGCATTTCAGATGTTCAGAAATTCATTGCAATATTTATTTAAATAGGAATTTTAATGTGGAGGATGAAAATATATGCTTATGGTATTTAGTCCTAAATGAACTTTGGAAATCTATTTTCTCTTTATTTGTGGAGAATGTATCATGAATAACTTCATACACAGTTTTGTAGTTAAATGTGAAATAAGTAAAGTGAATACAGTATACAACATAAGGGCAAATAATTGGTGCCTTCAGTTAAGCCATTTCTTTGATGTAGGTAGGTAGACAAAATAGTACTATTGTAATGGAAGGCAGGGAAAGGATAAAGTTTTGTTAGGTCTGCATTGCACGGTTTCCAACAGTCCCACTTTCAGGCTGTTCAAAAATGGCATCTAGTATTGAAGTAAAATGTCAATAATGCACTATTGTTATGAGAGCGCTAAATTTTGTGGGACTAGGTTCTGATTTGTGATACTTCTGGTCACCCCTTGCCACTCCATCCTCCTCCTTGAAATCACTAAACTGTATTTCATTTACCTGAAATTACATGGAAGCAGAATGGGAAAGACAAATGCAAACACTAATAACTACCTACTCACAGCTTCCAAATATTCTAGGGGTAGGGGAGAGAATCACAGACTAAAACTTAGATCTCCCATTGCTATTGATGCATTTCTGATGTTAATTTTACTTCAATATGAGCTGCCATTTTGACCGACTTGGAAGTGGCTTCTTTGAATTTGCGGGGGTGGGGAGTTCTTCACAGTAATAGAATGCACTCCCCTTACCTCCATAAAAAAGCTGACACAGATATTGGTATAAATGTATAGGTGTGTGTGCAGATGCTAAAAAGCTAAGCATTGCATAACGTTGCCTTAAGTGATGATATGAGGTGATGAGTACTCTTGTTGATTAACGGATACTTAGTTTCTTCCAGTGTCTCCTCTTTGTGGTGACAACTGTACTGAAGTATCCCAGAGAAACAAAGAAGCCATCTGTTCATTCCTGGATAGTTAACAGGATTGGATCGTTCCACTTCTGACATGTCTCCATCATTGACTGGTGGTGAAGTGTAATGTTTTGAACTAGTACTGTATTTCAGGTCTAAATTTTAATTGAGTCATATCAGCATATACTGATTTCATAATCTAAAATATTATTTTAGACACTACTATAATATTTTAAAGATGGCAGTCTTACTCATTGGCCCTTTCCCTCAGCAAGGTCAACTTGATTTCCTTGCATAAATCTCAGACTCCCTTTCCCCTTGCCCCATTCTGCCGGTCTATCACTTCGCACTGTAAAATATTTGTGTTGCCATACAGTCTGTATAGTTAGTTATACACTGTAACTAAAATTATGTCACTTTTATTTTAGGTTTTTATGACAAGTTCATTTTGCTTCTAGACTTCAATAGCTTGTACCCTTCAATTATCCAAGAGTTTAATATCTGTTTTACAACCGTTGACAGAGTATCTTCTAATGCACCCCAAAAGACAGAGGTGTGTATGTGTATTTTTAGTGCGATAATAACTTTTAATATGTGATTGTTCTTATTGTTGAGTTCTTGTTCATCTTCAAGAATAGAGTCTTCCTAGACGTTCTTATTGTCTTCGGTAATTGGAGTATGTTAGTGGATATCCTGTAAAATAGTGTTTGCCATAAGCTGTGAACTGTGAATCCATTCATAAAATCAGATTGGTAAAATTTAGACTAATCTAATTTTTACAGTAGTGTAATCTTTTGGTGATGCACACAAATTCTGAGTGCACTTTGAAACATGTCTCTTTGTGTTTAAACCGTCTGTTTCTTGTCATAGGTAGGCTCCATTAAGGTCTTTTGAGGGCCCAGCTGAACTTCCATGGTTGGAACTGTTCATACTACTACCTGATGATTCAGTCATAGCAACTTTGGGAACAAATCTGTTATAGTGATGTTGACATGTCAAAAGAATTATTCATTTCACAGGATGAATTGGAAGAAATTCCTGAACTACCAGATTCATCCCTAGAAATGGGAATCTTGCCTAAGGAAATTAGAAAGCTCGTTGAGCGAAGGCGTCAAGTTAAGCAGTTGATGAAACAGCCAGACTTAAATTCTGACCTCTATTTACAGGTATATCTGACAGAAAAACACTTGTGACTTAAGTAGATAGAAAAATACAATACATAAATGAATAAAGCTGTGCAAAAAATAAAATAGAATAAAAAATAAAAAATCAGTTTGCTTCAAAAAATAAAATAAAAATGTGAAAGAATATTGTAGGGATAGAAAAGGGGCAGAGACAGGTAACTAAAATATTCTAGGAGGTGGAGTGACATTCCTGTGAAGAAAGGTTAAAGCATTTTGTTCTGTTTAGCTTAGAAGAAGAATGGGAAAACTGATATAATAGAGGATTAATATTGTTTGTTGTTGTTACATATAATTATGTATTATGTGTATGAAATTATGTACAGTATAGAAATGGTACACAGGGAGAAGTTTCTTATAGAATCATTCAATGCAGCTGAATGGTAGAAGATTTCGAGCACATAAGATAACATTCTTCACTCAGTTCTTAAACTGTGGAATTCTGTAGTATTGGTGGTGACCAGTTTAGCGGCTTTAAGAACAAATTCATGAGGGATAAGGGCTATCATTGGCAACTGTGTGATACCACCAATATCGCAGTTGCTATGCCTCTAAAGCCAGTTGTAAGGGCACATGAGCGGGAGGGTGCTGCTGTGCTTATACCATGTCTGTGGGCTTTGTAGAACATCTGGTTGTTCACTGGACTAGAGATAACTTTGGCCTTGTTTTCTTAATAGCTTACAAGCTTGGCTACATAAGATAAAAATACATGACAACAAGGATCGCAAAATGTTCAGTAGAACTTATAGCAGTATATATTTCTGCTGTATACTGTTTTTCTGTTGATGAAGCTCTTTTCATTTGCAGGCCAATACTGTTTTTCTGTCAGTTGATAAAAAAACAGGAAATGATTCATGAAAGGAAAAAGAGCAACTTTTAGAAATAGAGCTTCATGTCAGCAGGGGTAGTGTACAATTTATTTAGGAATATTGATCAGTAGAGCTACTAGAAAAGTATTGCCTCTTGTCAAGAAACTGGGTCCAAATCAGACCATTTATAATCAGTGTTACTTGCTTTCTGTAACATATATAAAAACAGGATAGGAATAGGGCAGGACAGAAAAACAAATATTTCAAATTTAGATGAGGGCCATTTGCACTGGGTCATTGCAATTTTTTATTATACTGCATTTATATCCCACCATTTTTCCTCTTGTGAGGAACTCAAGGTAACTTACATAGCTAATTCCATTTTTATCTGCACAACCATGTGAGTAGGTTATTCTGCAGGTCCATTACTGGCCCAGTACGCTTTATGGCCAAGGAGGGGACTGTACCCTGGCTATTCCAGATGAATGATCCGTGCTGGCTCCTTCCACACCACACTGGCTCTTCTAGCAAATTATGACATATTTATTCTTCCGGGGGGGGGGGTGTTTATTTGCTTGTGTTTTTGCCAGTTGTGATAGTTGTTTGTATATCTTTTCAGTATGATATCAGGCAGAAGGCTTTGAAGCTTACGGCTAACAGCATGTATGGATGCCTGGGGTTTTCCTACAGCAGATTCTATGCAAAGCCTCTTGCAGCTTTAGTGACTTTCAAAGGCAGAGAGGTGAGTTACTGGTAATTGGTACTGGGTTTTTTTTTGGGATGTGGTGGTGGGGCAATGAAGCAGAGTGATGTTTGTTTGCAAATGTTCTACTTCCATCTGTTTTCAGTATTGATTGTTTTTGTCCTCCATTTCATATTTTAAAAAGAGCTAAATTATTGAAAAGTCTACATTCCCCACTGAAAAAAGCATGTGGTGAATGTAAATAAATATTGCTGTATGTTAGATATGAAAATCAGCAACAAAAATTGTTGGTAGCAATGTCAACATAGAGGTTACTTTAGTATAATCTGGCCAATGATACTAAGTGGCAGGAGATTCAATATAGAGGAAAGCAAGTACTTTACACAGTATGTTTGTTAACCTTTACTGCTACAAGATGTGATGATAGGCAACAGTTTAGATGAGCAAAAAATATTTGACATATGCAGAGAAAATGTTTCTTAATGGCTTAATCTATATTCAGTCCTCAGATTTTCAGAAGGCAGTGTGCCTCTTAGTACCAGTTTCTGGGAAGCAAGAGTGGGATAAGGCTATTCCTTCATGTCCCTTTTCTGAGCTTCCCAGAGGCTTTGGGATAGCCATAACGGGGAAATGGTGCTGGACTAGATGGACTGATCCAGCAGGATAGCTCTTTTGGTCTGATATAATAAGATTTCGTATGTATTGCCAAACTTGTTCTAACAAACTAAAATACACATTAGAAAGGGAGAGTTAGATTTTGATGTTCCAGTGGTAGACTGTTGGTCAGCTTCTGTGGATCACCTTCTGTCTCTTGTGATTCTTACAAAGAATACTGTGTATTAGGACCTTGTTCTGATCTAGCATTTTCTGAAGTGCACATACTCAATCATTTAAAAGTTGTATGAAAAAACTTGAATAGATATGGCTGGATTATAAACTTAAAATCATCACAATCCATTGTCATATTTAATTTAAAATAGATATGGTAAGACTAGATAGCACCCTCTGGCGTAGAGGGTGATAAAACATTCTAAGTGGGGGAAACAAGTGGTTAAATATACCAGCTATCAATGCCTGAACCATCACAAAATCAGTAGAATATGTGGGATTTGATGCAGTTTGGTGTCATTCCTGTGCTTCCAAATTTCTAATAAACCGACACAACTAAAATCAAGCACAAATTTTGAGCATGTGAGTAGTCTCACTTAAATTGGAATCATAGTATCACTCATTTTTTCTTCTAATAATGCAAGTAGCTTGCATTTACTGCAGGTGTACAACATGCTAGTTTCAGGCAGGAACAAAACATTGCACATACTTTACTAAGGTCACTATCACTGGAGAATCCTTTTCATGTATTCTGTACTATAGAATAAGGAGGAGGGAAGTATAGATTTGTAGATATTCTTAAGCTGCTCAGTTGAAGTCTGACTTCTCTGCTGCTTGCCATGACTTTCTTTTACATCCCAGAATGCTTCTGGTATATGCAGATTATGTTCATCTGAGGCAAGAGGGATAATGGACAAGTTTCATGATGTGACGTCCTACCCATGCAAATAACCTATACGTTGTGGGTTGTTCATGGAACATCCCACTGTGTTGCTGACAGGCCGCCAGGCCTACTTTGGGTCATTCTCCCTCTTTATCAAACCTCCATCTGGTATCCTAGGGTCCTATACACTGGGAACTGTTTTGTCTTCCCCAGCCCTGCTGTAATTGCAACTCAGTGGTTTTGTGTTTTTGCCTGGAATCCTAGGCTACAAGTCAGTGGCAGCCACTCTGTTGATGCCCAGGTCGTGTTTTGGAGTGACCATCACAGGCTTATTACTCTTAAAAAATGGGCAGCTGAAATGTATACACTTGAAATCCTCTTTTATTTTTTAAGAAAAAAAAATTCTTGCAGGTGAGTACATATAGCTACTCAAAATGTAGTCCCTTGCCTGACAATACTGGGAAATTCTGCTGCCATGGTACAGCAGAAGGTTGTCCAAATAGGACTGTGTATAGGTTGCTTTGTACACACTTTGCAGCTCTCGATTGACAAATTGTCAGTTGAAAAACAAAGTGGCTCTTATGAGTGTATTTCCCTCCATCATCCAGTTTTTAAGCATTGCCCTTATAATTCCCAGTGTCCCCTACCTTTTCCAAAATTCCATGAGCTGCTAGAAAATCACATCCCACCCTCCTTTCATGGGCACTTACTTTTGACATGGTTAAAAGAAAAAATCTTGAAAAATCCTGTAACTGGCAAATTGGAGTATTGTTTTGGATGTTTATTTATTAAAAATGTATACCATTCACTCAGCCATCTTTCAACAAAGTAATTTTAGGCAAACTTTTTTTAAAAAATTGTCCAGGGACTTGAGTTTAAGTTGATGATATATGCTAGTTTGGCATTGATTCTGGATTTAAATCAGACTTGGTAAGTGCAGGAAATAAGGATCAAATGTTATAGAGATAATTAACCATACATTCTGAGGGTAAGGTAATGTAATACATATTTGCATAGCCAACTGAGACGCAGTGAGACTGGGACGATGTTTGGGTTTTTTTTAAACTCAGGTCAGGCCCGTATGAAAAAGTATGACACTGGTGAACCCTAGTGGTTCTGATGAGACCTGGGAAGTTTTAATCCAGTAAAATATCATCTTGCTCAACTGTTGCTAACTTCTCTTTTGCTACAGCATGCAAAGTTAATGTGCAGAGTTACAACGGTGTGTGTTGTATGTGTGATATATGACAATCAAATTTTCTACAATTAGGCATTTTGTTCAGAACTTGTTTTTACAAACCTGTTGCCATAGGTTTTGCCATGAAGGAAACATTTACAAGCTTGTTGAGATCCGGCAGGGTCTTTCAGCAACTTGATAGCACAAATTAAGAATAAATAACAAATCACCATGATGTGTTTTTTGTTGTTCAATAGATATTAATTTGTGGAGTAGTACTGTGATAATTATTTCGTTTCTTCACTAGATGGCAATAGAGATCTTACCTTAATTTTGTTAATGAATGTATTTCTGGTCACAAAATGTTCTAATTGCATTTAGTTTTATATCTGAAGGATTACAAATTTCCTTTAGTATTGTGCATAATGAAATGAGTTTTGCTGCGTATTTGGTCTTTGATTAATTTAATAGAAGAAAAAATCTGGTAAATGTTTAATGCATATGATTATGATAACAGAAGGCAAGACCCATGAGAAATGGTCTACTTTTCTCATTTTAATAATCTGTGGAGTTTTATTGGCTAGTCATTTTGTTTCTGGACTGTACTGCTGTGGGCAAAAAGCAGGTTGTTGACATGACTGAATGCTAATCCCACGCACACATTCAAAAATGCATATATAATAAAAGCTAGATGTTAGAGTAAGGTTTCATGTCTTTCCAGCATCCAGTTTCCTGGGTGGAAGGCATTTTTATAGGGGGAACATTCAGTTGCATGAGTCCTGAGCTACCTCTGAGCTACCAACTTTGTTGTTTGTAGCAACCTGTTGGAAGTAGATAGAAGTGCAGGGGAATCATCAGGAATTATGTTCCTGACTCATGCATTTTCAGTTATCATCCAAAGCACATCACACAATCCTGTTGTCTGCTTCCAAACCCTGCAATTCAATTGCATTAGCTCCAGTCTTTCAATGGGGACTGTACGCTTGAAGGACTTTCATTAGGCATTGAATACCTACATTACCTAGGCAGTGAAGTGAAGAAACAAATTGACATTGCCAAACCACTATTCAGGAGCTACCTATTGTAGGACAAGTCCAGCAAAGAAAGTGACACATCTGTCCTTCCTGTCATCAACAGTTCTGAGTGGCTGAGTTTACACAACACAGAAATCCATCCTGTGAAGAGGGTTGTTTGTGAAACATCCTATGGCACACTCAACAGAAGATCAGGCTGTTATCCACACTTTCTGCCTTGGTCCTTGCACAGGTGTCTCAGAGGGTTCTCCTATTTTCAACTTAACCTTAATTATCTATTACCCACTTTGGATTTGCTGGTCTCCTTGGCTGAAGGATTGCCTAGAATTAAACAGCTTCTTAATTTGACATGGCTGCTCTCAGCCAAACAGAGGGACTGACTGAAGAGGTAAACTAACAAAGCAGATTCCAATCCCAACACTGTCTGCATATTTTAAGCAGCATCTATATGATTTTGCAAGGCATTATATGCCATTACAATTGTGTTACTGGGTTTGTCTGGCTGCAGCTGATGACTGAATAGGCAAAGTATGCTAAACAGAAGAGAAACTTCCTATTAATTTTCTCAGGACTTGCTTGTCTTCTCACCATAGTTAAGCAAAATGCATTTAGGTAAAAAAGTGATTGTGGGTTGCTCCGTTTGAATTTGTATGGACACAATTTTATTTTAGCATGGTTGGATTACAGCTTCTGCTGACAATAATTGGGGCACATAGTGTCATTTAAGTTGGACACTATCCTGCAAGTGTTGGGATATGCCTGGAGTGGTTGACTGCTAGTAACCAAATCTTGTTATCTTCACCTTGTTGGCCCTTATATTGTGCTGCTACTTTCACAGTAGCTGTGTGTACACAACATGATAAGCAACCCTGCAAGTTTACCATGGCTTGTGGGTTTTGTACCTTTCATCTACCTGACAGGTGATGAAGTGGTTTCTTCTTTATCATGTTTTCTGTCCTCCCCGCTCTGTCTTCCCACTGTTGGCATGTATTCCATTATTCACTGTGCCTGAAATTCAGTCCTACGGTACGTTGCTCCCTGCCTGTGTCACCAGCTTCTTCATTGGTCCACATATAGAGACTAGGATGGCTAGAGCAGTTCTTGCACTTTGCACTCTTTCCAGAGGACTCTGTGGTAGCTGCATGCCATGACTGTCAAAACTATGATTGTGGGTTTAGACAACAGGCCAGGTCATGATGGTACAGAGAAAACCCTATCATGGGCTTAGGCCACTGGTACCTTCAGTTTTACCAGAAGGGTGTTTCCTGATGAGCATGGTTATCTGTACAAGTCTGTAGGAAGTCAAGCAAACTCTTAAGTACACTTGTTGCAGAGC